CCCTTTTTGCTGCTTATAAGAATATTTGTAGCTCAGGGTTGAAATAAGGGGTCCTCGGTGCTCTCTGAGCTTGCTTGTTTTCTTGCAGACGTTTACCTAGTTAAGGTAATGAAATGTCTGCTAGAAAACAAGCAAGCTCAGAGAGCACAAAGGACCCTTTTTGCTGCTTTTTCAGACGTTTTCAGCAATGCAGTTGACTGAAAATGTCAACCTAAGCAAGCTCTCTCCTAGTGTATAGCAGGAGAAATCATGTTTCTTTTATTTCTAGAGAGTCCTAATGTATGGAATTGGATCTTTTGGGAAGATGAGACCCATAATATCAGTAGATTCTGCCTCTTAAAATGTGCTTCCCCCTAAGCATGGTTAACTCTGTTTCACAAATCTGACTGATTACCAGATGGAAGTAACGGGAGGAGGTTACCATGTCTCTTTGCTGCAATTTGTGGTGATCTTTCTGCAGCCAGGGTTGTTTGCAGGTTGTGGTCAAAAAAGTCAAGATGGCAGCCGTGACAATGTAATCAGAGTTTTATCTGCTTTTTATATGTACAATATATACAACACACATAATTAACCTGCACAAATTCAATCACACTGTTAATACCTGCCATCCTGCGATCAACCCTATCTGCCTCCCTACTCTCTATGTTAAAATATACATCTTCATTTCATTAGTATTTCAGAGCTGAAACTGGGCCCTTGGCTCAGTTAAGTAATGAACAGTAGATGACCATGAATCACATTAATATTTTCCTTCCGCACCGATGATTTCAGGCAGGCACGCTGGGCGTAAATCCCATTTGACCTTCACAGACTCCTTGAACGCAAGGTCACACTGTTTCCACAGTTGAAACTGATGCTGCTATGAATGTTTACTTTATGACACATTCAAAGTAGCATATGTTTATCAAATAAGTCTTGAATGCTCTGCTTTCTGTAGATAGTGCTTCACTCACTTAAACTGAGCAGCTGCTTAACATTTGACACGCTTGGCTTTTATTATTATTATGGAGCAACGGGAAGGGAGAAAGGCGGGAGCAAGAATAGGTCCATTATTAAAATTGGGGAGAGAAGCTACTTTCACGACTTTTCCCAATCACTCATTTTCCGACAGAAGTGTAACGCGGGAAGCTCAAATTAGTAGTTTGTTAGAGAAGAAAAAGAGCGGCAGCTAGGACCCAGTGGAAGTCTGCTAGCAAGTACAGTACTGTACCTGGGCGGGGTTTTAGGCCCGGAGGATCCCGCACAGCCTGCCGCGGCTTCTGCTGCGCTGCCGAGACGCGCTGACGACACTCGTGCAAGGTAGCGGACGTTACCCGGTAGGGCATTTGAAAATCTTTGGGGCCGGATGGGTTAAAGCAGGAGCGTCCGAGTCCTTGTGCCGGTAAATGGGACGTGGGCCAGGCGAAGGGTCGAGAGTGGCTTCTCTGCGGAGCTGTCGCCAAATCATTTCTGCGCTCGGAGACGCACAATCCCCCTCTACGGGATCGCACGGGGAAGAGGGGGGGGGGAACGTTTCCACCTGTACAGGTGACGGAAGATCCTCACCTCCGATTCTCAGCACGGCACTCCCTGGGTTGATTTTTTTTCATAACCAACCCAGGACCTGCTTTTTCCAAGACCTGCACAAGGTATAGCTCGGTTAGCGTTACTTTCAGACACGTCGGAGTGCAATTGGCCGTGATGGCTGCGGACGATGGGAGATCTCGAGCCTAGCAAAGCATCGCTGCCCTAAGGATGCAGAGCCTCGTGCCGTTTTCCTTTGCTCCCACCTAGTACCCCGGTTTTATTGTTTTTCCCTTAATCCAGTGGAAGAGCATCGGAGTGGATTGAAAACAATGGGCAAAGGGCTATTTGCAGCACTACTGGAATTCAGCTGCGTGCAGGGGATCAGGCATGTTTTGACGTTGTGGGTCTGTCACCATAACCCACGTGGCCTGGATTGGAGCTCCCGCTGTTAGCCTTGGACTCCCCTTGGATTCACGATTTTGTCTGTGAAAGTTCACAGGCCTTGGAGAAACAGCTGATACTTATTGTGGGAATGGCCTTGAAGACAATTGCAAAGCACTGGTCTGTGCCCCTGCCTATAAACTCCCATGCAAAATGTAGTCATAACAACATTGAAGTACCATTTAAATGTCCTCTGAAAAGACAGAGTGAAATAAAGGAGGAGAAGCAAGATAGGTAGGCATGCAAATGTCAGGCTTGTGAGCAGAAGCAGAGATCTGTTTCTGACTCTTTAAAAGAGGATATTCAGGGGAAGCAGGAGGCAGGAAATTCAGGCAATGGGAAATCTAGCCTCATGAAGTCAGAGAAAAGTCAAAAGAGATGCAAAAGATTCTGGGACAAGGTTCCTCAGCTTGGATAGCATAATATAGTTCAATATATAAAGCAACACCCAGATAGGTTTATTAAGGCTATTCCTTTCCTCTTCAATGACAGAAGCACTTTCTACAGTTCCCAGACGTTCTGTCCACTAGGTGCTCACCAAATGCCCTGAGACTACTACATCTCTCAAAAATAGGAGTAATCATAGCAGTTTGGTCTCTATTCCAGGTTGGGGATCCTACACACAATATATGTGATCAAGTCTGTGTCAACTCTTAGCAACAGCATGGACAATTATCTGTCTCTAACTGGGCCCTTCAGGTCTTTCAACAGGCACTGACTCATCGCTGTTGGAACTGAATCCATATACTTTGCTGCTGGTCATCCCCTTTTTCTTTCCTTTTCACCTTTCAAGCATTAGAGCCTTTTCTAAAGAACTAGGATTTCTCATAAAGTGTGTGAAGTAGGATAATTTGAGCATGGTCAATACAGAATACCTAAATTTGATGATGATATTAAAAATATAAAACAAATATAACAGAGTTGAAACTATTGCTATGCCCAAGATGTGATTTTGGGGTGACTGATCCACTGCTTTTTTTTTGTTGTTGTTGTTGGCAGTTCTTCAGGGATTTTTTTTTTTTTATAGCTTTATTATGTTTTTAGTTCTATAATTGTAAACTACCTGGACTCTTGGGAAGTGGGTTGTATATAAACTATGTATAATGAATAAATGAAATAAATATTCACATCTACAATGCTGTTATGAGTTGAAGAGAACTTGTCATGTCAACAGGGTTGAAGTTCTATATAATGTGTCCAAATTTGTTTCCTAATTTCTTCCTCTGTTTATTTTATTGGTGTCTCCACAGTTTTTCAACCAGCATGATGGTGGTGTTACACAGCTATTGTGAGGGAAATGAGTCCCTGGCACAAGCGTGGACTCAAGATGGATTGTCCCTCTGCTTCTACTTCACACTGGTCCCTGCAGTGCTACTCAGTGTCTGTCTCCTATTGGGTGCTCTGCAGTATACCTGTTATGCTCAGTTCAGCCGCACTATGGAACCAAAGTATATCCCTCGCTCCCGCCTGTACTATACCCAAATCCAGGTCTCTCTACTCCTCACCCTGATGCCCTTCTGCACTTTCCTTTGGCAAGTGGTGGGCACCCAAGAACTTTATGGATATATGGTGCTGAATGTTTGCTTGTCAGCCATTAGCTGGGCCATCTCGATTGGGCTGCTGCACCTGGAACGCACCAGGGTGATGGTGCAAGATCGGATTAGAGGCCATGGAGCAATCCTTCTCCTCTACTGGGCTCTAGCTTTTTCTTCTGAGAATTTGGCCTTCATGTCATGGAACAGCCCACTTTGGTGGTGGGAATTAAAAGACACTAACCAAAAGGTAGGATGGGTCAGTGATAAGGTCATGGGGATGATATGGTATAGGAAGATGATACAGTTTCTCTGGCAATAAGTAAAGCTAATTACTGTATATTGTATAGCATGATTTATAGCAGGGCCTAGGGCCAAAGAGTGTTGTTGGGCACTTCATCTCGGAAAACTTGTTTTCTACTATTATAACTCAGCCTTATCTATCTCAGTCAAGTTGTGACTGAGTATGAAACAGCCCATCTGAATCACAGTTCATGTTAGTAAGCAGAATTTTTTTTCATGTGCAGCACTAAGTTATGAAAATCAATTATATTGAATAAATAACAGTAATATATTTTGAAAGTAGAATAGAGGAGTTTTTGGTCAATAATGTGTTGCTTACTTGAGCCTCCTTTGATCCATGATCGTGCCATATTTGTAATAGACAAGGCTTTGTAACTTTGAAGTTCAAATGAAGACAGACAAATTAGAAATGATTTGTTACAGAAACACGTTGATTGAGACATAGTCGTACTATGTCCCTTAGGCTGCCTTATATATATGGAGCTATTGTCAGTAATACAAACTTTGGTGTGCATTTTAATTGTATTACATTTAGTATGGGAGGGAAACAAGGTGGGTTTTTTTTACCTAATGGAAATTAGGGAAATAAGGTGGGTTTTTTTTTCACCTAATGGACACATTTGACTTGACAGGCAATTGAAGACCTCCTATATCAGAGACAGACTTCTCCTTTTTTAGGTTTGAGACTTAATAAGAGATTATTTATAGGCTGATATTTTATAGAAAATAAAGAAGGAGATGAGCTAGCATTGAACGAACTGGACTAGCATTGAATCTGTCAGAACGTGCCCTTGGTGCAAGCTATTGCTTATTTCTTTTTTCCTCTCATTTTCCTGGTGACAGCATGTTTTTGCTGAATCATTGTTGCTTAATCATCATTACTTAACAGTTTCACATGAGGGCAAGTAGGGCAAATCACTTTCTTTTTAAATGTTGATAATAGGGGAAGAGACTTTATGCATATTCCCTTACCAAGCAAGTCTAACCACAAACTGAATTCTCATTTCTTTGTTCTGGCAAGAATGTACAAGAGAGGAAGGCTTGCTTCCTTTTCTCCTCCTCCCTAGGAATACCATGAGACAAAAGGGCATCTCTCTGAAGATCAGTTTCCTGGCTCTAAAACTTGAAAAACAAGACAGAATGTAATTCCATCTATCGTGCAGATAGTTTATTGGTTTATTAATGAGTTGCCCATCGCTTCCTTTATAGCCTTTCCATTATCATAGATAATCGGGAGTTGGAATTCAAAAATGTCAAAGATCACAAGGTCTTCTAATTTGCATTTGTTACTAAGCTACCTATCTGAATTACAGTACTACTACAGGCCAACCTCAGGTTTGTTTCTCTGAGTAGATAGCTATGCCACTCCACACTGCCAGTTCATGTAATCACCTTAAAAGTCGGAACTGATAAGTCTTCACATAAATTTACAGGTAGCCCTCGACTTCCAACAGTTTGTTTAGTGACCATTTGAAGTTACAACAGCACTGAAAAAAATGACTTATGACCCTTTTTCACACTTATGGCTGTTGCAATGTTGCAGGATCCCATGGTCATGCGCTTTAAATTCGGATGCTTGAAAACTGGTTCATATATATGACGGATGCAGTGTCCTGGCGTCATATTTGCCATCTTCCAACAAGCAAAGTCAATGGGGAAGCCAGATTCACTAAACAGCCCTGTTACTAAAGTAACAATTGCAGTGATTCGCTTAACAAATGTGGCAAGAAAAGTCCTAAAATTGGGGTGGGGGGACTCAACTAATTTCTTAGCAACATAAATTACGTAGCGACATAAATTGCGGTCATAAGTCAATGGCCACCTGTGTAAGGTATGACAAGAGCAGGAGTAGCTGTTGGTTTCTTATCCCATTGCATATTGTATGAGGTTAAAGTACAGTGACCATAATTTTCTTGGAAAAAATAGGAAACAAACCTAAAAGGGCAGGGAGGGGAGCAAACCCGAAAGAGATTCATAAGGACAAAAACAATTATTTACATTTATAGCTTTGCTTTCCAAAGGAAAATTCAAGAGCGACACCAAGGTAATATATAATTAAATGTGTAGGGGGCTGGACTAGAAGACTTCCAAGATTCTCTCCAGCTCATTCTATTATGTTCTATATTCTATTCTATTCTATTCTATTCTATATTCTATTCTATTCTCTAAAGGACAACTTTCTGAAACAAAGGATGTGTGGTCACTGTAGGTTAAGAATGCCCTAGCCTAGCACAAGGGACATCCAAGGAGAAGTAGCAGTAGCAATGTTTGGCTTGCACAGATTGTCCCTGGAGAGCAAATTGCCAGTGAGGTAGTCCCCAAAGTCTCATCACCCATCCATTTGATAGCCCACATTTAAATGCTAGCCTCTCCTGTGCCTGATCCCTTCTCTTGCCCTGCCAGCTGAGTCATGTGACTGAGCTTTCCTAGGGCTTCTGTGCTGCACTTGCAGGCCTCACGGGACAGGAAGAGGCGTGAAGGAGCAACAGGAAGTACCTTCCCCCAGGTAGTGGAATTGAGTGCCTTTGGGGTGTTGTGTGTGTCAGAATTACCACTAAACGCTCCCTAAAGCTACTGGAAGGGACTGTCTCTGGGATTTACTACAAAAAAAAAATGTTGGGCCTTTTTGTAATTGTAATCTCTGTTCTTGGCTACAATATTCACAAACTAGTGTTTTCAGTGCTTTGACCATCATTTTGGTGGACCAATCTTTGGTGGAGCGCTTTAGAGTTTTATGTTTGGCCAGTGAAATGCCAACTTCTCCTCCATTTGACTGTGGAATTGGGTGTTGGAGAAGAAGAAGTGCTCACTGCCTGCTGGTTTGTAGCCATTGGAGGGGTGGGGCAGGAAGAAGGGGATCTCTTGCTGAAGTGTGCCACTGACCTGAATCCACTCCTCCCAGGTCCAATTCAGCCTGTGGTTCCTGCGCTACATCAGCACCTTCACCCTCTTCATTTTGGGGATCAAGGCCCCAGGGCTGCCCCGAAAACCCTACATGCTTTTAATCAATGAAGATGAGCGTGATGTGGAAATCAGCGAGGTGAGTTTCTTTTCCTCTATCCAAGATAAAACTTGCTGTGTTGTTTTTTTTTTAATAGCAGCGCTTCAGAGCTCGTGGGCCCCAAATGTAGCTCCTTTCAGCAACTCCTTAAACTAGCTGTGCTAAATGTGCTAAACACTTTTACTGTTAATATTCCTCTTTTATCCCCCCACCCCACCAGCCATCTGTCAGCAATATGTTGTGAGAGGGAGGTACCATTCCAAAGATGGCAATGAATTTGTCATAGAAAATCTTGCCAGTTCCTATCATTCTTTTTACTACTTTGATGGATTTTATGGGAGTTTAGTTCAATGCATCTGGAGGATTTCTATTCCTGGTTGCCAGGTTGCTGATCTCGATTGGAGATAGGATTGGGATTAGAAACATCATTATGTTATAGAGTAACAACTTTTACTTGAACCCAAATGCTGACAGCCTAGTAACGAAGCAGCTGCTTGATATGCCAAAGATCCCAAATTCAGTCCCTGGCCCCTTCAACTAAAACTGACTCAAGCAATGAGGACTTCTGACTGAAACACTGAAAAGCAAAAGAAATCTTGATGAAAAGGGGTGGATTCTTTAACCTTATAGAAATGTAGAAAGCTCAGAGACTTTAAATCAGGTTTTGTTACAATAAAAATCAGTTCATCCCTTACTGCAAGCATACCAAACCAGATACTCAGTAATGGAGCAGCTCCTGATGAATTTCTCAGAATCATTCAGCTCTACAGCCTCTACCATTGTACTGTATCAGAGAAAGAAAAATAAAGAAAAAGTGTAAAGTTGTTAGGATATGAACATACTATGAGGCTAATCCAGTGGCTTTGAGTCAGACTGATAGTTGATCTACCAGCAGCTCTTTGTACATGCTATTCAGAAACTAACCAGACTTAATGAGAAACGGCTGAGAATAATGTTTGCAGATGCTCAAGACTCTTCACAGGAAATATGAGTGCTAAGTTTGTAATACATATCTCTATCCAATAAATGGCTATTTTTCTACAGATTTTGAAGTAGTATGATATCTAAGTTTCATCTCAAGAAATGCCCTCTGAAAAGAAGCCAGACAAGGGTTTGGTCTCTAGCCCTTGACGTGATCAGATATTTTGAAACTATTTACTCCCACTCAGTTCACTTTCTAGTCATGTGTGCTAGACTAGGAAAAATG